ATTGCATGTTAACAAAACTTCAATAGCAGCAACAGGAGCAGCAGTAGCTCAGGTAAATAAATTAAGCTGCCTTTCTCACATGTTTCTAGCCGCAAATCAAACAAACCGACAGTAAATAAATAAAGTGAAATGCTTTAGTGAGCTTTGATGAGGATTTGCATAGGAGATTGTCTGAATAAGGCATGTGAACGACCAGCTAACTGACTCTAGTTGCACTCAATTTAATTTCCATTTTTCGGCCACGTTAAGCCATGAAAATTACGTCGATTATTCAATCAGTTCTTTTTTGGCCAACACGAATTTAAATGCACCCCAACATTGGACGAGCGAAACATGACTCTGATTTTGCGTTGAAAGTTTCGTTGTCAGCAGCAATTAAAACAACGCCCAAAAAGTGCACACGAATTGCAGCAACAGCAGAGCAGCAGTAGCAGCAACAGCAAGAAATTGAAATACAAAACCCAAAAGCGAAATGAAGCCTGGCCACACAGCCAAAAAAGAGAGCAAAAAGGCAGCGAAATCCTGCAGCCGAAGAGCAGCAAAAATTAAATTAAATGCAACAAGAAACAGTTGGCTAAGCTGTACGCCGACGTTTGAATACACTGCACAAGAAAACCTTTGACCAATGGAAGCATTTTGCTATAATTCAAAGATTTCCATCCATTAAAAATATCGAATGTAAATTACAAAATGAAAACAGAAATCATTAAATAATATAGAAAAATCTATATATTCCATGCAACTGTTATTTGCCAGCCCGGGTATTTTAGGGTATTTGCATTAATGTCATACTGTTTGAAAGTATTTCTTGGTTTATTTTTTGGTTAAATACTTCAATAATGTATTGAAATCCCATATTGGTAATATATTTTTAATCAATTTGAGAGCAGAATAAAGCTTAATTAATTGTCTCGTTTATTCATGATATCAGAAAACCTTAAAATTCCAACACATTTTCCATACATTAACTTCTTTATTGGCAAATAAATAAAGGAAGGCTAATTATTGTCAAATTTTGTGTTATGGGTTTAAAGTTGAGTAAGTAAAGTAAGTAAATTTAAGAAAAAATAAACAAAATGTATTTCTCAAAATAAAACAAAATATAAAAAAGATAAATTTAAGACTAAAAATTAATTTTCTGACTTTTCTTTCTCTAAACATAAATTTAATTTAATTATATTATATACAAATATATATATATAATTTATAGATTTCTTTCCTATAAATATATGTGAAACCAGCTCTCCAAGCATCCTAAGAGCTGAGCCGATTGCATCTGCCACACACATTTGCCAGCATAGCGCCTGCCGGCAAGTGTATGAGATGCGTGCGGCAGGCGGAAAAGCGTTAGTCGCTCAACAGTTTGGCTCTATGTAGCATAACGGTAAAGTCAGGCGTCCATCCGGACTAGCCATGCTGCATGCCATGTGCCATCGCCCCTAAACTCTTTCACTCTTTCACTCGTCCACGTCTATGTTTCGTTTTACATTCACATTTCTCTTTCATTGTTCACAATGCCGAATTTTTGTTGCACACCAAATAAATAAGCACACACACACGCACACACACAATACCAAACACACACTCACATACAAGGCTGACTGGCAAAAGGAAACACAAACTAAACGCAGTCCAGTGTTTCCTGTAATGAAAACTTTAGACATTTTTTGTTGCTGCAAGACGTCAAAGAAGCACTGAAAAGCCAAAAATAGAAAATGAAACTTTAAAGAAAGATTTTCTGGTCATACATTTGACTTTCAGATACCCTGTAAAAAAAGAGAAGAGGTGATTAAGCTAGCTGGAACTTAAGGTTCTTTAAAACTAAGATTGATATGAAACAGAGACTAATTTTTGCATATATCTATATAAAAGATATTCGACTAGTAAATACCCAGTACATTTTGGAAAAAGATATAACGTACTAGTAGAAAATTAATATACCTAAATACGTTATAAGTAAAAAGACGTTAGTTCTATAAGCTTAATTAAAGCTTATTGACTATAAGATACCCTGTAAATTGATTTTTAAAAGCTTTCCGACTAGTGCATTCACAAGTGATTAATATGATGTGATAATAAATTTAAAATGGAATAAACTAAAAAAATTGCACCAAACAGAAGTTTTAGAAAAAAATTTATCTTAAATATTATTTTTGAAATCAAAAAATCTTTAAGTAAAGCAAAAGGCAAATGCATATATAACTTGAATAAAATAAGTTTAAAGGCATCAAAGTTTAATTTGGTAAATTTTTCGACAAACTAATATACCCCTTTAGCTTGAAGCTACGCTCAAAATACAATTAAAGTTGTATGTTATGCTCAGCCACAGTTACTGCTGCTTTTTATTTTTTTAGCCATTGTTGCAATAGGCAGGCAAAAATTCTATTAAAATTGAAAAGCCAAAACGGAGCAGAAGATCCTATACGGAAAAGCAGTCTCGAGTTCTATATATATATTTCGTGCTGGATTCGCCAAGGGCCCACTTGGCCAGCACTGCAATTAGAGGTTAAAGCAACACGTTACATAATACAAACACGAGCAGCATCAGCAGCAGCAGGATCTCAGCCAAAGAAAAGCACAATTCATAAACTGAATAATTCATTAAGCCAATTGTACTAAACTCTAAAGCTAGCAGTTTTTCTATAGCTGACAAATGAATGGAAATATGCGCTGTAGCAAGAAAATCTGTAGAGAAAATAATGTATAACGTTATAAAAATATAGACAAAGAGAAACAATTAGTTTAATGTTTCTCTCTCTCTCCACTTTCTTTATCTTCGTATCTTTTTCTCTCTCTTTTGATTTTTTCTTTATCTATCTCTCTCCGACTCTTTATCTGACTTTATCTGTCTCTCTGACATTTCCATTGACTCTCTCTCTCTCTGACACTCAGTGTGTCTTTCTCTCTGTTACACTCTTTCTCTGTCCTTATATCTCTTTTAGCTCTTTCACTCTATCTCTGTCCCTCTCTTTCTTTCTCTCTTTGGCTCTTCCTCTGGCTCTGGCTCTTTTTCTCTCGCGCTCTTTCTCCCCCACTTTCTTTGTCTCTCTCTATCTATCGCTATATCTGTCTCTGTTCGCCTTTCTCTCTCCCTCTCTATCTCTCTGTGACTCTCTCTGTCCCCCTCTCTCTCTCTTCGCTCTCTCTCTTTCTGTCGCTCTCTCTCTCTCTCTCTCTCTGTATATATATATCTCTAGGTCTCTGCCTCTCTCTGCATCTCTCTCTCACTCGCTTTCTTTATCTCTCTATCTCTCTCTCTCTCTCTTTCTCTCTCACTAATTCAGTAAATTCTTATTTCTATTTCAACAACTAACTTCCTAGTGCCCAAATTGAATGCCAATCAAAATTCACTTTGCTGCGAGTTTAACTTTAAACAACTTCAAGCTAAATAACACAAAATGAGTACATATTTATTTATTTTTTTTTTGGCACTCTATGCTCATTCCAAGGCAACAGAAAAACGCTCAAGTAAAAATGTGAGAGAGAAAAATATGGTAAAATATATGTATAATATGGAAGCAAATAAGCAGGCAAAGGCAAATTTATTTTGCGGAACTAAATTGTAATAATTTTGGCAGCTGAAATATGCACAAAAATATTTTAATACGAGCTGCATAGTTCCATCTATCTCTTTCTCAGTCTCTGCCCGCCTCCGTCTGGCACTCTGATCCGCAGACATATGGAGCCAACACACAGACAGGCACCACTCTGCACAGCCATATAAAGTGTACAAATAAAAAAGGAGTTGAGCCCCCTTCATACCCTGTAGCTTGCCCCCTTTAAGTTGTCTAGTTGTATGCTGCCTGACGTTGAGTCTGGCATTTGCCAAGTTCCCTTCTTATTCCATTTTTTTATCCTCAACCAACTGCAGTTGAGGCGAGCAAACAAACAAAACGTTAGCATCAAGGACTGCATATTAAATTTGTCATTTCGAAGTCAAACTGTGGGCGTGGTCAGCTCATCCTTTTAGTTGTTGTTGGTGTTGTTGTTCTTGCTGTTAGCTGCACCCTGTTGCCTGTCCAATTGCAGCGCAATTTAAAAATCCATTTCGCATTCGCTGGCCATGAAAATTGAATTATCTTTCGCCGCGACGCATCAAAAACAGCGCAACAGACCAAATATATATATATATATATATATATATTGCGGACAGCAACTGCTGCAGCAAAATATTATTAAGCAACAGTCAACAGCAGCGGCAGCAAAAGCTACAACAGCAACTCTGTCACATATAACCACGTTTGACAATACGCTGACTGCACGCGTGCACGAGTTGGCCAACGCAGCGTATGCGTAATTTGTGCCCAATCTGAGCCTGACAAAGTGTGTGTGCGCGTGTATTTGTTGACTTCACTTTGCAATCAGGTTTTTAATAGTTGCACAATAAAAAAGCTTTCAAGTTGATAAATCGAATTGCGGACGTGAATGCGTAAAATATTTAATTTAAATTATTCAAGAAATATACTAGAACTAAAGTGGGGTAAGTTTGGCATTTGGAAATCACATTTATTTTAATTTTATAATAATATTTACTTTAATTATATAATTACATAATAAAATGTTGTCTGAATTATTTTGTTTTATTCTATTAAATAAATTAACTAAATCTACATTTTTGTATTTTTTTATTTCTATATCTATATATTTTGTATTTTTATATAGTAATATATATATGTATATTTTATATTTGTATATTTTGGTTTTCTTCACATTTATGAAGTTTTGGATTTTTATATTTAATGTTTTTTATTTTGTTTTGTCTGTCAAATGTTTTCAGTAACCAAGTTAATCAAGATAAACTTTTTACCTCAAAGATATTTTTTTCAAAACGGAGCATACAAAGCTCAACACACTAACACTTTTTTAAAATTTGTTTTTCAAACGTTCTGTTCAAATATGGTTCTATAGCCACTTGAAGTTCTGTCGCGCTTAGCGAGAAGAGGCATCTACTGCAATATGACGCCATTATCCTGCTGTTGTTTCTGTACGCCATCCTGGATATGAACTACTTTATACGCTGTGGGCTCACACTGCTGATGGTGCGTCTGTTCAACACAAGGCACACGATAACTGATAAGACAACCATCTATGGCATTTGTACGACACAAGATGTGGACATCTATTTGCGGCACATGAACAACGCACGATATCTGCGCGATCTGAATTTCGCGAATATTCACTACTATATAACAACCGATGTGTACAACATTGTGTGTCAGAGTGGCGGCTCTATAATAATTAGCGCTACGACTATCAGATATCGACGCTTCTTACCTCTCTTCCAACCGTACAAAGTAGACACAAGGCTCATCTGGTGGGACGACAAGGCCATGTACTTCGAGCAACAGTTTGTCTCGCTTTTCACTGGATTTGTGCATGCCATTGCTCTCTCCAAGCATTTATTCATCAATTACAACGTTTTCGATTTAGTGCCCATGTTTAAAGACACCGCCCAGCGACCAGATATACCCGATGAACTGAAGCTCTGGCTGGAAGCCAACGATGAGTCAAGTAAAAAACTTAGAGGAAAGGGCCTATCGGAGGACAAGAGCTACTTCGATTGTCGAGCGTCTTTTTTCTAGGCATTTTCTAGATCAATGCCAAGATATAGACATACATAAATTTGAACCGACTCAAATATATGATATAGAAATTGATAGAAATCATTGGTTTTTTTTTTAAACTTTATTGTCCTATGACGAATTGAAGGCAAGTTTCATATTACTACCTCTTAAAGATATACTTGGGAGAAGAAGGCAAGATTACCTTGAGAATATATATGAAATCATGTTCAGCTCGTAGCTGAGACTGAGCGTGTATACACATATTCTTCAGATGACTGCAATTCAAGGTAAAATACATCCATCAAATACAGTTCATTTAAATCTTAAGCCGTCTAATCTGCAACTGATTTAGTTCGACTAAACGCTCAATGAAATATTGCAAACAAATTTTTGCTTATGCAATTATCTATACATCACTTAAAAGCCGCATATGTAACATGTGTGTATGTGCTTGCCAGCTTATGGTTTACAGCCACAGGGCACACTGCATGTTGCATACGTATATATCTGGCGCTGTGCTAAGGAGGGCTCTTGTTTTTGCCTGGCCCATTTATATCAATTTCAATTAGTTTGTGGCGTACTTTTTGCCAGCCATGCTCTCTCTCTATCTCTCTCGTTCGCTATGCTGGCCAAAACTTGGCACTGGCTCAAAATCCAAATTAATAAACATTACAATTGCGGCAACAAGCAAATTTGTATAGTCATAATCGCTTCAATCTGTCTGCTTCCCATTTTGCCTGCCTGCCAGTCTGCCAACCAGTGTTGGCTAAGTGCATTTGAACCTGCGGCTTTTCAAACGGAAGCCGCATTTGGCAAATACGTTAAGCTGAATGCAGGTAAAACCCATAATACATACACACAACAACAAATAAAACGTTGAACGAGCTGAACACGAGAGGAATTAAACTGGTTGCATATATTTTAATTGAAGTAAATTTTGCATATATTTACATATTTATATATTTTTATATATATTTTTATATATTACATTTGCAACTCTCTTTTAACATGAATGTTGGTGAATATTTTATTTTTAAAATTAAATAAAGTCATTTCGCATGCAAATTATATTGATATATTAATATTAAATACGTTTAACTTCATCTGAATAATTGGCAAACGTTGTTCAAGCGAGTGAGTTGGTGTTTTTTTGACTTTCAAAGATTTTTTAAAAATGTATATAGTTTTCTTAATAAAGAATATTTTAATTTTATTAATTTTATTTATATTTATATATATCTACAAAGAAGAGAAAATAACTTTATTTATTATTTAAATTAAATTAATATAAGTATATATATATATATATATATATACTTATATTAATTTAATTTAAATAATATATATATATATATATATATATATATAATATTTCTATATAATATTTCTTTATTTTAAAAATATATTTAAAAAAAAAAAAAAAAAAAAAAAAATATATATATATATATATATATATATATATATATATATATATATATATATATATTTTTTTTTTTTTTTTTTTTTTTTTTTTCTTTTCCCCACTTATGCCATTGTGAATACTCAGTTATTTTTTGGCATCTCTTTTGCTTGGACGTGTTTTGGCTCGACTTCACTTTTGGCCTAGTCAAAAAAGTGGACCAAAGATTCTGTATCAAATTTGTTGGCCAAAAACAAAATACTGATAACTCAGCAGCCATCGTATTCCGCAGAATTGACTCCCAGTGACTTTTTGCTGCTCCCGAAACTAAAGTTAAGCTGCGCTATGCTTGAGTAGATAAAGACGGCGACGGAAGCGAAGCTGAGTAAGATTACAAGCAATGAGTTTTTGACGTATTTCTGGAATTGAAAAAGACGTTGGCACAAGTGCATAATAGCTGATAGGGATTACTTTGAAGTGGAGAAAATCATAAATAATTTGAAAAAAAAGGAGCGATAGTTCGTTTATATTTTGAGACCTTTTTTAATATATTATATAAATTCATAAGCGATAAAAGGCTTGGAAAATATGTTAAGTATTCATTATTTTATTGTGTTAAGTATTCATGGTTTAATTTGAGAAATATTTGTAACAAATTCTTTCAGTAAAGATATACAATTAGCAGAAATATTTTTAATAAATTCTTTTAATAAATAAATATCATAAATATTTGTCTATATATAATTAAAGATATTTATATATATATAAAATATTTTAAATATTTTGAAATATTCTGAATATTACTATAAGCTGATAAATATGCTTGGAAAATACTTTGAATATTAAATGCTTCTTAAAATTTTTTAAATTTATTTTTAAAATATTTTTTAGATGACGCATAAATATTTTAAGAACGATAAATTCAATAAGAATTGCGCATGTTAATAACTAATTGGAATTTCTGAAATCCATAATAATAATATAGTAAAATATAGTATAGTATAGAATAGTATAGAAATTTAATTTACCAATGGTTATTTTCTGAATACGAGGCAAATGAAGACTACCAAGAACTTCGTGAGGCATCCGTAGATATCGCAAGTTTGTTGACCTTAATCCTTTTTACAATTATCGAAATAACAGCAATTGTGATAAATAGGAAGCAGCATCCCAAGAGTGCATAGACAAGCAGCTGTAGTTGCGTCGTTTGCGCTTTGCAGCTCTGCAAACTGGGCACGGCATTTGGATCGACGGCGTTCGCCCTGAAGCCCTTGTCACATTTACATTGATTATGGGCCACGCAATGGCTATGATCTGGGCAATTCGGCTCACAGGCGGATTTGCAACTCATCAGACTGGGCCAGACATCGGGATTCGTCTCATTGATAATATAGCCCGGATTACATGCACAGAAATTCGGTCGCTGGCATACGCTGTGCGGCGGGCAACCGTTAATACAGTGGGGCACACAGTCTGGGACGACGCCCACGCAACCTTCGCTGCACTTGAGAACTACTCTCGAAGCACTTAACTAAGAAAAGTGACTTATGTAGATATACGTATATATATGAGACAGCTTGATACGCACCGAATATACACTGGTTATGCATTCATTTTGCTGTACCTCACTCATTGCCTCGCAAATGGCCATGAGTAAAAGTATTTTGCTTAGAGAGTTAAGCATTCTCATTTTTACTTTTGTTTACCAGACTTTACACTTCTTTTGCGACTTGCAGATGCAAAGGCCAACAAAGAACTAAATTATTACAAAGCATTGCTAACTAAACGACAACCGCATATATTTATTTTTACTTCTGTTTTTATATATAAATATAAATATATATATTGTATACCCTGAATACACTTTAAATGGGAATAGATGAATGATTAGAATGACGAAATTTTCGATAAAAATCGATAACTTGATAATAATAAAAATTCGATAAGCCTAACTAACAATCTAGACTATGTAATAAATGCTTGTGGTAGCTATATATATATTCATAATTATAGCGGCTGACAATGCTCGTATATATATAAGAATTATAGCTAACTTTATTTACCAAACATTTAAATAGATCAACGAAGATCTCAATTTACTGGCTACTTGCTTTTATTTCTTTGAAAATTTTAAAATTATATTCATTATAATTATGTTTTAGTTCTTTAAATAGGCAGCTCTTTAGTTTACATAATTAAAAGATCCTCAATATTTTTTACACTCCGTTAAGAAACACTATAAGTTATAAAAAAAAGTTTTACTATTCAAAAATATAATATTCTATTGTCATTCAAAAGAATTTAAACCATATTGATATCAGCTCATGACACATACAAAATGCCATAACAATTATGAGAAATATTTTAGAATAAATATAAATTATAAATTTATCTGTAATATATATTCAACCTGTGTGTTCAACATGTGTTGTTTTTTCACTGCTTCGTCTAGAACGCAACATCTTTAAATAAACTATCAAAATAATAATGAGTGCGACCAAAGCTAGGCCGGCTGTGACATATAAGACTATGCCAAGTGAATCGAATTCAGTTTCCACTTCCTCAGCGCTTATCATAGCTTCCAGTTTATCTTTAGTTTGGGGCTTATCTGTCTGATTATCGATATCCAAGTCGCATATTTCCAGAATTGAGCAATTGCTATTTGGCGGACAATCCATATTGCATTTGCGTGCACTTCGGCTGGAAGTCGTGTCGGGACAACGGCTTGCAATCAGAACGGGCATATAGTTTGCTTCCTAAATCAAGTTAGATAGAGATATTTTATATCCTCTTTGATTTTATTTATGAATTTCACCTACCGCCGATGCATATTGCCATGTGGTACATATACTTGTACCGTTAGTATTTCGTAAAACCAACAGAAGCAAAACTAAATACAGGCACTTATAAATCTCTTTACTTTGGTTAAGCATAATTATACAAAATATGGCAATTGCTTCACTGAGCATTCACTTGAGAACTAAACTAAATAATTTTATGCATAATTATTCGCATTAAAATTTCATAAATCATTTACACTCAAAGAAAACTCTCAGTGCGCATCAGGCACATAATAAATATTTAATTATATTTAATTGATTTTTTTTTTCAGTGTAGATAAGCCCACACAGTGGCACGATCGCAACCACTAAGTACTTTTGCATATTATAAAGTTGATATAATATTACGAGTAATAAATATGAGCTATTCAAATCGTGTGAGCTTACAGCAGTTGACTCAGCTCAACCGAAAGGCAATTATAACCTATTAGGGTTCCCTAAGGCTCAACATACAATTGTTCACTTATTCATGCCTCTATAGCTTCTACTTGCACTTGTATACCCTGAACACATTGTTTAAGGGAATTTGGGGTCTGTTTGTTTTGTGAAAATGTATTTATTTGGCAAAGGAAGGCTTGACAGTAACTATAGAGCGAGCTGAGTCTGAGAATTTCTTGGAAGCTAGAGACTTAATATTTGAAATGTTATGTCACGTTCGAGATTAAAATTTTGTTTTTCGATAAACCAGCTTATTTCATAATTATCGATAAGAATAGATCATTTAGCTTCGTTTTTTAAGTGTAGCTTAGATACTGCAAATACTAGAGACTTCAGATTTACTGTGGAGGTTTCTGTAATGTTTACAGAGATTTTGTATATCTGCCTTCTTCCCAAAAATATTAGAGACTTTGCTTTGGCAAGTAAGAAAGTCTAGCTAGAAAGGAAGTTATTCCACAATTAAGTTCCCATACTGCAGTCTGCAGCTTAAGCCTAGCAGAGCTCATACATTGAAATATCAGCTCTTCGCAGGGCTCAGGGTATCTACTAGTCGAGCCGCGTAGGCGGAGGGGAGCAGGCGGGAGAGCGAGAGCGAGAGCGAGAGCGAGAGCGAGAGCGAGAGCGAGAGCGAGAGCGAGAGCGAGAGCGAGAGCGAGAGCGAGAGCGAGAGCGAGGCGAGAGGCGAGAGCGAGAGCGAGAGCGAGAGCGGAGAGCGAGAGTCGAGAGCGAGATGCGAGGAGCGAGAGCGAAGGAGAGCGAGAGCGAGAGCGAGAGCGAGAGCGAAGAGAGAGCGAGAGCGAGAAGCGAGAGCGAGAGCTAGCGAGAGCGAGGAGCGAGAGCAGAGAGCGAGAGCGATGAGCGAGCGCGAGCGAGCGAGAGCGAGAGCGAGAGCGAGAGCTAGAGCGAGAGCGAGAGCGAGAGCGAGAGCGAGAGCGAGAGCGAGAGCGAGAGCGAGAGCCGAGAGCGAGAGCGAGAGCGAGAGCGAGAGCGAGAGCGAGAGCGAGAGCGAGAGCGAGAGCGAGAGCGAGAGCGAGAGCGAGAGCGAGAGCGAGAGCGAGAGCGAGAGGCGAGAGCGAGAGCGAGAGCGAGAGCGAGAGCGAGAGAGAGAGCGAGAGCGAGAGCGAGAGCGAGAGCGAGAGCGAGAGCGAGAGCGAGAGCGAGAGCGAGAGCGAGAGCGAGAGCGAGAGCGAGAGCGAGGAGCGAGAGCGAGAGCTATATCTATATCTATATCTATATCTATATCTATATCTATATCTATATCTATATCTATATCTATATCTATATCTATATCTATATCTATCTATATCTATATCTATATCTATATCTATATCTATATCTATATCTATATCTATATCTATATCTCTATATCTATATCTATATCTATATCTATATCTATATCTATATCTATATCTATATCTATATCTATATCTATATCTATATCTATATCTATATCTATATCTATATCTATATCTATATCTATATCTATATCTATATCTATATCTATATCTATATCTATATCTATATCTATATCTATATCTATATCTATATCTATATCTATATCTATATCTATATCTATATCTATATCTATATCTATATCTATATCTATATCTATATCTATATCTATATCTATATCTATATCTATATCTATATCTATATCTATATCTATATCTATATATATATCTATATCTATATATATATCTATGTGAAACATATATATAAAATATAATCGAGCAATGTATGCTATGCAATTTGGAGTATTAAGCCCTTTCACAATTTACAATCAAAGCTGGAGAGTGTCCGACTAGAAGATACCCTGAATCCCGCACAGATGGTCCATTCCAACAATTTTACAATTTTTAGAGCGTAGTATGAGCATCCAAGTGGTTGTATTTGCTGAAGCACATGTCTCTAGTGTTCAAGCGACTAGTCGCGTCTGCTGTGTTTGACCTGTCCAAATATTTGAACCATATATTAATATGTGTAACTAAGCTTCGCCCGTCGGTTAGCTGATTAATCTAATCTTGATGCGCGCTGACAGCCAACCTGAGCAGCTGCATTGAGATAAGGCAACGCCGGCGACACTTACAGCATCCAACTTTTCAGTCTTAAGCGGAATGTTGGCCAAGCCGTTGCTGTTGCTGTTGCTGCTGTACTGTGCGGCATGCCACACGCAATCCTTGCAGTTGATCAACTGCAATGCAACCCAGCTGCAGGCAGTGAGGAATGTGACAAGCCTAACAACCTTGCGTCTGCACAACTGCAGGCTGGAGCAGCAGCAGCTGAAGAATGCGATCTTTTTGCGTTTCAATCAGCTGCTCAGCCTCGAGTTGGAGCACAGCCAGCTAAATTCCTTGGAGGACTATGCGCTGCATGGCTTGGCACGTTTGCAGCACCTCTCGTTGGCTAACAACAATTTGAGCCTGATTAAAGCCTGGTCCGAGCAGCCGTTGGCCGCCTTAACCTCACTCGACATCAGCTTCAATGCTTTGATTCGCCTGCCAGCTCATGGCTTCGAGCAATATCCCAATTTGCAGCTGCTGAATTTAAGCCACAATCGTATCGAGCATCTGGAACCGGATTGCTTTCATAATCTGTCGCATCTCAAGCACTTGCAGTTGCATAATAATCATTTGCAACTAATTGCAGCCAGCTACTTTCATGGTCTTCATCGGCTCTCGGGCTTGGGCTTGCAACACAATCAGCTTAAGCAAGTGGAAGCTGCCTCCTTTGAGAGCAACACGCATTTGCGCTCGCTGCACTTGGAACAGAATCTCCTAGCTGATTTGAAATTCCTCAAAGACGCTGGCCTAACGCGCTTGGTGCATCTCAATCTATCTAGGAATTCGCTGGAGCAGCTGCAACCCTCAGGATTCTCCAAGAACTTTGAATTGCAAGCTCTGGATTTGAGCTATAATAAGCTAAAGGAACTTCAAAACAATAGCTTCATAGGACTGGAGTCATTGGAGGTGAGTTAAGTGAGCAGTGGATGATGTGAGAGCCGAGAGGGAGACCTAGTGGTATTCTAAAGGCCTTGGAGGTGTCAAAGAATGCTTAGATATCAGCGAAGGCAGAATAAACTCAACGGCTATAATGAATGGAAGTATACGTTCTGAGACCATAAAAGTATCCAAGGATTCTATGATTTAGATTTAGATGAACTTCTGGACAGTTCTTAGATACATCAGAAAAAACGAATTGTTCGACCAAAGGAGATCACTTTTGAAATCTCCTTTGCGCCCCTCGGAAATCTTTTTTCGTCGCACAATCTTTTGCTTCCTGTTGTATGTTACAGCCGTCAGGTGGCAGACTATCTATCTGATCCTCTTTGAAGGAAGATAGTCAAGGATTGTCCAGCACACTCATTTGATAGCAGCTTCAACAGCTCCGAAGAGTATATATTGAAGCCATAAAAGGCATTCAATATTACCATATAACCTAAAAGATAACAAATTTTATCTTATCTCATATTATCTTCAACCCACAGCGCATCAATGTCAGCCACAACAGCTTAGAACACATCGCTGTGGATGCTCTACACCCACTGAGCGCCGTATTCCAACTTGATTTGAGCTACAATCGGCTCAAAACTCTGCCTGAGAATCTTCTGCATGGCAACAGACAGCTGAAGCACATTGACATATCGAACAATCAACTGAGTCAACTACATCCTGGCCTGCTACAGCAGTTGACACACTTAACTCAGCTAAATCTGGCTAGAAATCTGCTGAATGAGGCTAGCTGGTTGCAGCGATTGGCGCCTGGTCTAAACCGTTTGGCTTTGCGTGTGGATCTTAGCTCGAATCGGCTGCAGTCGCTCAATCTGAGCAGTCTGCTCTTCTTTGAGCAAGTCCAGCTGTCGGACAATCGCTGGAACTGCTCCTGGCTGGTCAAGCATATGCTTAGAACACCGCCCACTGCACTCAACTTTGCCCGCTCCTGGCCCATGCTGAGCGCCTGGAGCGTTCAGCAATTGTTAAATATACGTGGCATCGATTGCTTTGATGGTCAACAGAATCGCTCCATTGTGCTGCTCGATGTGAGCGCGGCTAGGCAACAGACGCCGCCGGATTGTGACTGCAAGGTAAGTCTCTGATGGAGATACAAATAATCAACTATTAATCAACCAATTATTCTTTCTATTAAGTCCTCGCAAGAGTCCAACATCGAGCTGTATACTCTAACGCCCCCTTTGACCTGGCCCAGAATTCGCACAGATCGCTTCGATTCACGCTCGGTAATCATCTGGATGCTGGCGGCCATTGCGTTGGCCTTTGCGGGATTGCGCTGGGGTCAGCGTTACATGGATCGCAAGGAGAGAAGCAAAAAGTTAAAAGAAATTCAGGATAAGGTGAGTGGTCCTTGATAGATCTAAGAGAGATCTATGAGTGGTCGTTGAGGGATCTATGAGAGATCGTTGAGAGATCTATGAGAGATCTATGAGAGATCTATGAGAGATCTATGAAAGATCTATGAGAGATCTAGGAGAGATCTATGAGAGATCTATGAGAGATCTATGAGAGATCTAGGAGAGATCTATGAAAGATCTACGAGAGATCTATAAGAGATCTATGAGAAATCTAGGAGAGATCTATGAGAGATCTATGAAAGATCTATGAGAGATCTATGAGAGATCTATGAGAGATCTATGAGAGATCTATCAGAGATTTATGTGAGATCTATGAGAGATCTATGAGAGATCTATGAAAGATCTATGAGAGATCTATGAAAGATCTATGAGAGATCTATGAGAGATCTATCAGAGATTTATGTGAGATCTATGAGAGATCTATGAGAGATCTATGAGAGATCTATCAGAGATTTATGTGAGATCTATGAGAGATCTATGAGAGATCTATGAAAGATCTATGAGAGATCTATGAAAGATCTATGAGAGATCTAGGAGAGATCTATGAGAGATCTATGAAAGATCTAGGAGAGATCTATGTGAGATCTAGGAGAGATCTATAAGAGATCTATCAGAGATCTATGATTGATCTATGAGAGAAAAAGACTTAAATTAAAAATGTAAAAGAAATCCTTATAGAATTCATGAAGGACACATAATAGAGCTATGAAAGATTTATTTATATTATAGACAAGAAATTCCGCAGCCCTACATATACCTGATAAAGTAAAAAAAGCTTCTACCAAACCAAAGTCATGTGCGCTTACTTCTCCAACAAAAACGTATAGATCAGTGATAATCAGGTTCTTATAAGGTTCAATGAATTCTAAATATACTGTCTGTACATTCGTATGCTTATATGTGTATTCACTTCAAAATAGGATGGAGATAAGGCGCGATTGAAACCAAAATTGAACTTTGGAAACTTTGAACTCTAATTAAATTCTTTCAGCTAAAGTATAAAGTATCAATTTTCTTTTCTAGCAGCAGCTGATCAGAGTGGAAGCCTAAGCTCGAGGTGATCGCAGAAGATCGTAGGAAAACAACAAAAGTTAACAACTACATTTTATATAAGTATAAGCAAACTATAACTAAGCAAAGCTTCATAAACAATGTCTTAGAGTTAATTAATAATAAAAGTAATATATATATAGTAAATTATTTGTAGAGTCGCTCGATTAGGGGGGCATACTTTGCATGCACTATGTTGCGCCTGGTCTTGAGCGTGGGTCCCAGCTCGCCCGTTGGCACGGAGAACTCGTGCGGCAGTAGAGCAAACTTTTGGACACGCTGCGCTGATGAGATGGCCTTTAGATTGGCACGCTTGATGCCCGCATCGATGGCCTCGTACAGCTTTGGCTCGGCATTGATATCCAGCGCAGCAGCCAGCGACTTCTCATCGTTGGGTAGTTGTAGATCAGCGGGTATATTCAGTAGCTGCGACAGATGCGTTTGGTTCAGGCCCAGCTCTTTCAGCCAAGCAATGGTATCTCCACGCAACTCGTCGAGAGGTAGACCCGTGTTCGGATCAGATTTCGTTTTCAAGGATAGCAAGATCGTCAGATATTTGCGGTGATCGCCAACCAGGAGAGCATTGCTAACACAGGGCAACTCCTCCTTGATCAGCTCCTCAATGTGCACGGGCGGTATATTCTCGCCACCCGCCGTGATAATAAGCTCCTTAATTCTGCCGCAGATTACGAGATTGCCGTGCTCGTCCATATATCCCACGTCGCCGCTGTGCATCCAGCCATCGGGCTTGATGGCCTCCTCCGTTTTCAGTGGCTGGCCCAGATAGCCCATGAAATTATGACGTCCACGCGTCACAATCTCGCCTTGGCCATTTGCATCGGGCTCATGGATCTTCACCTCGATACCCACAAGTGGAATACCCGAGCTATACAGATTAGTCATGTTTTCGTGCAGCGTAATGGCGCCGCCCGACTCGGACATGCCATAGATATCGCCCAAGGGCATGTCCAGACCCAAAAAGTAATGCTTGAGCTCGGAGGAAACTGGCGCTGCGCCTGTTAGAAAAGTTTTGCATTGCTCCAGGCCCAACATCTGCCGTATGGATCGAATAAGCCGCAAGGCTAGATAGTATTTGGCTTGGCCATATAACGAGATTTTCTCACTGCGAAATTAAATGGAAATTAAGATTAATAAGGAGTTAACCAAAGGAAAGCACGACGTAAGACTGCTGAAGGTGGAAGGGTCAGCAAAAGATTCCTTTTGATAAGTTCTTTAAGGGATCTTTAACTGAACCTGAAAACTTTCAGACTGAGCAGCAGAAGCCTTACTCAAAATACCATCGATTAGGTAAGACCCTTCCACGACTTAGCAGCCAATTCACTTAGTAACTTACCCGGCAATCGTAGCCAGCTGATGCTGTTCTACGGCATCACGCGCCTTCGCCAACAGAAAACGTGAATACGGATTTGCCTTGACCTCCGCCGCAACGAGACTCTCCTGGAACTTCTCAAAGACGCGTGGCACACCGAACATTCGTGTCGGCCTGGCCTTCTGGAAGGTGCGCACCAGCGTACCCTTGAGCGCATCCTTATCGGCAAAGTAAACACAGCCGCCATGCTCCAAGGCCACCAAGACGTCAAAGACCTGGGCAGCAATGTGACTTAGTGGCAAATAGCTGACAATTCGCTCGCCCCCCAGCACTGTATTCTTCAGCGTTGCTCCAATAACTTTCGTCTCGAAGACCAAGCTGTCGTGGGAGAGCATCACAGCCTTGGGCATGCCAACTGTGCCAGAGGTGAACACGAGCATGGCGCAATCATTGGCATAGACTTCACTTTCCCTCCTCAGCAATTCCGGCTGCAGTTGCGCCGTGTCCAGTGCCATCAGATGCTGCCAGCTAAAGTAGCCCTGCTCCTGATTGACAAAGGCCTCGTATGGACCGTGCAGCTGAATGACAGCCTTCAGTCGTGGCAGCCGATGCTTGATGGAACGCAGCTTAGCCATCTGCTTGTCGTCATCGACCACGCAGACTGTCGCCTCGCTCGTCTCCAGGGCATGGAAACATGCCTCAGCCGAGTTGCTGGGATAGATGCCAGCCAAGACTCCGCCGGCACGCAGAGCGCCCAACTCGGCTATGAACCATTCTGGGCAATTGAAGGCCAAAATGCCCAGCGAGCTGCGCGCCTCCAGCCCAACATGCAGCAGCATCCTTGCTGCCTGCTCCACTTGCTGTTCGTATTCCTCATAGCTGAGCGTTATCCAATCCTGTTGCTCGGGTCGCTCCCAGACCAGGGCGGGCAGCTTTGCGAATGTCTGACAACTCTGACGAAACAATTCCGGCACCGTAAACACGCCAATGGTGTCCTCTTCGTCCTTCCTCAGCAGGACTGGCTCGTGTAGCGAGTTGCTCGTGTAGCTGTTCGCTGTCCTCAGCTTCGCCATGTTGAATAAATGTTGAGACCGACGATCAAGCGATATTTAAAGCAGAAACTCTCTCACTGTCTGGGCTCAATACACTGCTCTGCGGCCTGATAAGACTGGCAGCAGGCAGGCAGGCAGACAGCCATAGATGACGTAGCAATTAGTTGATAAAAAAACCGTCTCTCATAGGGTATGCGCATACTCGTGCCTGACCTGGTTCTATGCATGACCCTGCTGACATCCTAATCGCCTCGAGACCAGCATACATTTATGTATACATCATTTGTATGTACAATCTAAATCCGCTTCTTAATTGGGAATCAGTCGCTGGGCGGCGATAGAATTTCCGAAAAGAGCAGAAAAAGAAGGAACTTGAGACGTCTGCACACCCTATCAGTTGTAATATTTATTTATATAGCAACACTTACAGATCTTTTTCCAATATGTAACTCTGGATTTTTCTGTCCAGTCATGCTTAATATTACTTCCAGTTGTAAGCCTTTTTTCTTCTTTTTATATTACAGAAAAATAATCCATGTCGAATGACGCAAATAAGAACAAAGACTTCTGTTTGCATTATCTTAAAAGAAATCTTTAAAAAAAGAGTTTTCCAATAGTACGTAATCTGAACAGCGGGCAGTTACAATGGAGTCTAATGTAGATACACTAATGTAGATACAAAAATATAAATATTATATTTAATTTTCAAGATTCAACTTTCTTTAGAATAGTCAAGCTATGACTTTTCAATGTTCTTCCCTTTTGAATGGTTCCAAATATAATCTATTCCTAAAAAGGTTAAATTTTACGGCATTTCAAGATTTCAAAGTCCATAAATTCTGAGCTCAATAATATTTGTAGTACCAGACGAGCGCATAAATGAGTCAATACACCTAAATTTTAAATCTGTACTAAAAAACTAATATAGAAAAATAATATGTACAGTGAAAACCCCTAGTAGGGACCCATAGATTCTGAACTCTCGATGCACAGTTGAAAAAAAAACTTGTGAAAGATATTAAAAACTCGTGTACTGAGCGAAATAGCATTTGACTTGATTAGACAGTGTCCAAATTAGGTATATTATACTGTACAGTAAGCTGTTCTTTTCTTTTTTTTAAGAAATGGTCATAGGTGGACAATACGTTATCGAACGAGGTACTAAAGGCTGCAATAATAATAAGATAATGTTTTATTGAACAGATATACATATGCATGTATATCAATATATATATATATATTATATATATATATATGTATTTAATCTATATAAATATATAGTCTATATGAACGTATGTATGAAGTTCATTCATATTGGCTTCATCTAACTCAATCAAATACATAAATGTATACATACATATGCATTTTTATAGTATATAGATAAGAGCTCTTGGGTTGAGAATTCATATTTCAAAATAACGGCGTTCGTTATCTTTAATTTTTAAATAAGTACACACATACATCACATACGTACATGCATACATATGCATGTCTGACCTCTCATAATCTGTTAAGTCGCCATGCCTTTGGCAATAAGAACCCATGTATATGTATGTATCATAAACATATATTCATACATATGTAAGTATATGCACATAAACATAGGCATCGCCCCTATCAACAAACACATTATATTTGCTTTTATATTTCATATTCAAAATTTAACCATTATGCTTTGTAGCCATCTCTCAATTGCTCCTGAGCATAGCATAAACACAAACAAGCACATGCAAATATACACACACACAAGCACTTGCAAACAGACACACACACACGCACGCATACAGGCGTAAACGTGCATAACTGACCTGCGACAAACACCTGCGACCGATCGAAAAGCACAGCTGAGCAGCGCAGCAGGCCACAAAAACAACAGCAAACTGCATGGCTCGGTCAATCATAGAGAGTAAGAGTGAGAGCGAGTAAATGAGCGGGTTAGGTAGAAGAGGCACACACACAAAAAAGCAATACAAGCTATTGTGGCTGCTGCTGCTGCGGCCATACATAAAACATGTAACGGTTCTTCTTTGCCTTGCCCAGCTACCACTCCCCTTTCGACACACACGCACACACACCTATAGGCTGGTCAGCTACGCTCTCGCATTACACGAGCCCAAACATAATACGTACGCACACACTCACGCGGCGGCGCATGCATAAGTACATTCATGTGTGAGTGTGTTTGTATGGGCGTATGTATGTGCGAGGCAGTGAAATAGAAGCAGAAAAAACTCAAATACTGTGGGCTCGCCTCAGCTGGCAAATAACAACAAAGCAGAAGAAGCAGAAGCAGCAACAGCAGCAAGCAAAGTCGCCGTCAGCAGAGGCGCTAGCTGTGCATTGATGTGCGCCTGTTCGCCCAACAGTCATTTTTTGTACAAATTTATAATTTATTGTTTAATTTATTTTATTGCAAAATGTCAAACAGTTTTGCCACATACAGACACCAAACACATACAGGAGAATGTATTCAAATAGAGATAGGAATATGTGCAATTATGCTTGTAGCATAGCAAAAAGAACCGCAACAACAACAACAATGACAACTATGATGTATTATTAACCCAATTGTAATTGTTGCAATTTGTAGCAGACGGCTTATCATTTGTCACGGGCGCAACAACAACATTATTATGAAATTATTTACCAATGAACAGCAGCCCATGAATGTCAAACAAGTGTAAACATTGCCGCTTCCATGAGCATGGTCAATGGTGGGTTGTGCGAGGGAGAAGGGATGATGGTAGATGGGGCTTGGCGTTAAAACTACAACACAAATAGTTGCATATTGCGTTTGTGTATTTCTTTTGTATTTGTACACAAAAAGTAAACAAGAGTCGGCATACTCTGCTCTGCTCGCACATAGGAAAGTATCTGATATATAACGGTCTAACAAAGCAAAAATATAAAAGGCAGTAGACAAACAGCGGGCCACAGTGGTCCCTTATGTATTATATGTGCTGGCATAAAAAATATGTGTCCCTATATATATATATATATTTATATGTGTATATAAAAAATCACTTACCTACGCTTTGGCTATAACAACAATCAAATCAACAATTGCGATATGCCCAGCGTGTCAGCAAGCGCATTAGGGTGGACCTGAATCTATTAAGCTTAGAAAATTTATAAAGTGGCATATATCTTCTGTAGTAGTAATTGTAGTCGCTTACAATTAATTAGGGTTAGCCAAAAAGGCTACCATTTATATAGTACAAATATACTATACATTAATATACATCAATTTTAAAAGTATATATTCTTATATATATAAAGAGAAAACATTATCAATATCAATATATAAAAAAATCTATGCACAGGTGGTTCACTCTAAACATCTGCAGCTCATAAAAAGTATTTAGTACGACACACATCCATACATATGTTTTTATTTATATTATATATATATATATATATATATATATATATATATTTATATCTTCTAAAGCGGAACTGAAAGACAGTTTACCCCACCTTCAAATAAAAATGTGTCGACAATAAACTCTTCAATTGCTCAGTGTGCACACAAAATCACATACACATGCACGCACACACAAACAAATATATATGTGTTTGTAAATACAAAGAACTAGATATGGACACATTCTCATCCCAAGTGTCATTTGTTATATTCACTATAACGGAACCGATATGCATGCTATCGTTTACCCCACCCACTCTTCGGCTTCTTCATCGTAATCGTATGTGTAAGTAATGTGTGTTGTATATATTTACACGCACGATTCGTGACGCTAATGTATTGTCCGTGAGGAGAGGTTGGGGGTGTACACATATGCATGTCTGTGACTTTTGTAGATTTGTTTGTGTACATATAGATATAGCAAAATAACCAGGCGCACAGCATTGATTAGCAAGCGAAGCAAAGTCAAAGCAAAAAGTTCATGCGAGTAAAGTGAATGAGTGAGTGAGTGAGTGAGTAGCCAGCCAGGCAACAATAACAACAACAGCAACAAGTACACACAACAATAAAGAAACACATATTCATATACAACAGTCACAGCAACAACAAAGCCAGTGGCAACAGCACACAAAACGATACACACACAAAACTACTAAAAGAGGCAGAGATGAGGCCGACGGACACCCGAGACGGCGTCGTCTTCGACGACGACGACGACGACGACGACGATGGTGATGACGACGACGACGGCGACGTCGACAGATAAACAACATTTATATTCATGTACCCGGCAGTAACAAGAACAACAACAACGCAAGAAGTGTGGCGTACACAAACGCACACAAACATAAAAGAAGCAAAACAAAAACAAAAAAACGAAAATCAAATAACATATGTATGTACATATTGACAAACAAGTGAACACATGTATGTGCATATAAACATACACATGAGTATGTCAGTATGTACATATGTACATACATTGCACTGGCACGATTCATCCACCGCACTTTGCGCTCAGCTCTCTTCCCTCTCTTCGTCTATATTGGCAACTCATTCAAACTCATTTCTACGCTCCTGAGAACAGCGACGCCAACGTAGCAGTAGCATATCGACAGCAGCACCAGCCTCAGCAGCAGAGTTGTTACGTGGGTCGCAGCGGTAAATGGAGAGGGAAACGAGCATATAAACGATAACAACAACATATTCCTACATACCTGCATACTTATATTATTAGCTGGCGTTTCTCTCTTGGCTGTGCTCTCTCTATTGTCTCTCGTCACGTTCGCTCACTCGGCCACATAAATGGCAATTACAATAAACAACCGGTATTAAAAACTGTTTTTAATCCTCCCATCATTAAAACACGAACGACACAAACAAAGCAAAACAACAACCATCAAAAATGTCAAAAGCGTTGAAGTTGAACAGGAAAAATAAGCCTATGTGAAATGTCGTCATGTATATATTATTATAACATATATCTCACAAGCCAAGGCACTTGCTGGTTATAATGATTTTTTTTATAATTTTATTTAACAGAAAGCATTTCGAAAATTTATTAGCTACGCTAACTGACTTCGGTGACATTTGTTGGGTGTGCGTCATAATAAGCGAGTGAGAACAAGAGCTAGCGAATGAGGTATATGATTCAAAAGCGAAAATGCAATTGAATAGGCAGCAGCTAAGAAGGTCGATCCCCCTTACACTACAATGCAAAACATCAGTGTGACGTCACAAGCAACACTTAATCGTTTGAGCTCATTTCCATGAGAGTAATTATTGTAAATTGCTCACCCTGCGGTCAATAATTCTCATAGAGCTTATCAGTTTTCCGGCAGACAGACATTGAGCTCAGTTTATTTTTCCGTTGACCAACGAGCAGTGGAAAAATCTCAAGGCACGGCCTTTTCATTGCTGTCAATTTTTGATAGCCTTTTGCCCCGACATGAATAATTGACCTAATCGTTATATTTAAAATAAGTCTAATAAGCACGTCCAGGCTTAAGTATATATGTTGATACTTTATATGTTTAATTTTTACTACATTAAACTATTTGATATTAGTTTTCAAAAATCGAAGAATGAATGTATGTTCTTATATCCATATAATTTGTATGCTTGCTCATTTTTCTGACTGTCACTGTTTGTGTCGAAGCCTGCATATTTGTCTGACCGACAGTGTAAAGCAATCACTTGTTGTTGTAGAGCCAATAATCGCTCAAATTAAGTTGTCGTTGTTGTTGTTGTTAGTGAGACTGACGTTTACATCAACGACGAAGTCGAGTCTGAAGACGCTCACGGGCTTTGCGACGTCATCAAACAAGAAACTCAACCTAAGCCCAACATACAGTAACAAACATATACACTCACACTCACGCACGCACGAATGCATGCATATGTGTGTAAATATATGTATGTATATGTTTCTAAGTATGTATATCTTTAAATGTTGTCGCTCTTCACGTGTTTAGCTGTTGTTGCCCATTACGGTTCGTTTTCATGCCATTTCTGGTTTTGGCTTACTCATTACAAGCGTACGTACTTATGTATCTGTGTATATGCATTAACATATACCGGCTACATATGCATGATATATACAAACATACAAACATAAACACAATTTGAGAACGTTGACGGCGACGCCAACGTCGCTGTTACCGTTTTAGCTGCGGCAGCAAAAGCTACTTCTACTTGCACTACATATGTACGTACCAACAACAACATTAAATATACATTTTGCCTACATGTGTCTACGTGCGCCTGCTAATCATTTCTGTGCGCCTGCTTTGTGCTCATGTTTATTTGTATATATCGAGCAACACAAACGCACAAAACACATATGCAAAAAAATAAAATAAATAAAATCCGCTTCATACACTTGAGCATACATATATTTATGCAGTTAGATAGTATGTGCGATACAACAGAGTAAGCGCTCAATTACAAACGTGATTGTGTGTCTGTGTGAGTACTTACATATTTTCTATTTGTTGTTGTCTGTTGAGCCGAGACTCGGCTTGCTTAGAGATTATACACACTCGCATACATTTACACTCGCGACGTAACGGTAAGTTTCGTTACGTTAAAGCAGCGTCTGATGTGGCTACATATTCACAGAACTCGCAACACAACACGTAAGGTTGGAATTTTTTTAGTTTATTTAAACCGTTCATCTAACCAGGACTTTGCCTGGATGGCTTAAAATATTTAAGACTTTTTATTTTCACTCGCACGTAACGGTATATTTGCTTTGATTTTGCGTTTCACTCAATTTGCTTACACACACATTTACATTTGCGACTCTGCGGGATATGCTACACGGGCGATGTTACGTCAAATTTGAGCTACATTCTCTTAGAAAGAAGACGCAACGTTAAAATTGAGTAACATCGGAAAACATCGTTAAGCGTGACTTTTCGTTTTCAACTTAACTGTTAAGAATCTTGCTGAAATGAAATCGCTGTTAAGTTTTAACTTAAAGAAGGCATATAAAAGAAAAAAAAATTGTTTTTGTAGTTACTCGAACGATTATTTATTAATTTTTTGAAGCCGCATTTCCTCTCTCTGCTCGCTGTAAATAATGTTATCTTAAATTGAACTTAAGCAAGCAGAGATTTGAAATTCGATTTCTATTTTTACTGTTGTTAAACAAAATATTCTTCGTACCATCTGCCGATGGGCGCTTTGATTTTCTTATGCATCGCACACATACCGATAATAATAATAATACATAGCAGAATACAACCAAATACGACTAGACCCACTATGAGAGTAGCCTTGTGAAGCTCATCCTTTATCTGTACATCGTCTGCACTCGTAGTTGATGCAGCGCTATATTTATGATGCGATTGCATTGGCTGAATGCGTCTGTCCGAGTCCAACCAATCGGTAAGCATTGGCGGCTCTATGCGATCGACGAGGTGCGATACGAGTGCACGCTGCCCGATATCTTTGCTTCTATTTAGCATCATATCATTGTAATCCATGAGATATGTTTGATTAATATCTTGACGTCGTTGCTCTAGAAGGGCATCAGCTATCCATTGATAATCATGAGCCAGAGAAATTAGATCCGGTCGATCTTCTTGAAGTGTTCGATTTGTTTCCATTCTCGGCAGCCTTCTATCTAATTGTTCCGACACAGACCTTTCATATGAAAATATTGAATCGGTGGATGTCATTTCTGTTAGGGCGAAGTCCGGTCGCTCTATCTCGTCTTTATGATCTGTCCAGTTTAATTGCTCCATATAATCTCTAATGGCATGAGCTGAAGTCGAAGTTGAAGCTAATTGATCAGTCTGATCAGTAGGCGCCAAATGATGGATTGCAATCGTATGATCTCTGGCATCTACAAGTCGAGCATTGCGTAACTGATTTATCGAATTTCCATCAGCTTCAATTGAGTCATATGTTGGATCCAAATCGAATGGCGCTGTTGGCTCAATCCAATTCTGTTTATCCTTCTGATGCCAATTGATTGATTGATCTATGTGATCTGTTTGAGTTAAGTGATCCGAAGCAGGTTCAGTTTTGTGTTTCCAGTATGAATATGTTCGATCGGTCGGGTTTCCTCTGGCTAAGCTAAGCTCCATCGGAAGCCCATGATAGGTCTGATCTGTCTGATCAGTTGGATCACTGCACACATATTGCTGCGGCAACGACTGCTGAGGATCCTGGCAGATCAGACGCTGATTGAGGCCATTGCAGACGCATTGATCGAGCTGCAGACAAGGCTCCGACTGATTCTGGCCACAAATGTCGAGGCACGTGGTTGGCGCAGTGAACTGGCGACCCCAGCTGAAGAGCTTTTGCCAGCAATTGCTCCGACAAGGTGGCACGCACTGCTCGGCAGGCAGCAATTGATGCTGCACCGGTTGGCAGCTCAGCGATTTGCGCTGCATCGCGTAGCCGGGCCAACAACGGCAGCTGCCAGGTGAAATGCAATCGCCATAGCGACAGGCGTGGCATTTCGGCTGGCAGCCGGCGTAGCTGTACTCGATGCCGCCCATCGTTTCGTACCCCAAATCGCAGGTGCATTGCTGTGGAGCGGTGCACTGGGCGTGCACGCAGGCGGGATCGCACCAGGGTCGACACTGACCCGGTGTGCCCTCATAACCCTTGCAGCACACCTCGCGTAGACTCCAACTCTGTCAGAGGAGCTTGTGATTAGGTCGAAGCGCTTTCCTTTTCGATGCTACCTACCACCTCTTCATCCGTTTTGTTGGTTCGATTGGGCACTCGCTTCAGGCACACGGCTCCCTTTTGTGCCCCCAGCCCTGGAAGCAAGACAAGGCTTAGGCCTAACGTCAGCCATGAATGACGCATGAATTCCAATTCCAATTACAAAAAAAGGGTTTGTCACTTCAAATTTATAAGCAAAACTTGCCGCGATCTTAACTTAAGACTAGCCATTGCCGCCAAAAGGTTGTTTTCTTTTGCTTTCCTACAAATTATTTTTTGTTTTTTATTTTTACTATTTAGTAAAACAAATGCCATAGACATTTTTCGAAAAGACTTCATCGTTGTGAAAGAACTTAGAGCTATCAGTGGGTGTACAGAAAAGGAATAAGGAATAGGGGTTTTCGGAGTATCCTTGCTCTGTGAAAGTGTAGCCAAGGAAGGAGTGAAAGGCGAGTCGAGCTAGCCCTTTGCATGAATACTTCGATCTCTTAAATTAAGGGAGCAAAGCACGCAGGCTATACGTAGGCTTCTCTATTATACTTTTAGGCATTCCCGACTAGAGACTCTTCCCTGTTTTTACACTCAATCATGAAGTGAAAGAGTTCGTCCGACCATACGTCGAAGCGTTCGTCTTTTCCTTCATCCGTCCGACCGTCCGTTCGTCCGTATGAACATAAACCATTTCGCAGCTATTGAATCTAGAGACTAGAGACTGAAATATGGAAGATATACTCGTGGGTAAGGCGTCACGATATGTCCCCTAGAGCGTGGCAAATCAGGAAATATTATATCTGGTATTTATTGATTGAAGAATAAACCAAATGTTTTCTAATATACAATGAGGTTCGACTGGACATAGCTATATGCTTATTCATCAATAATAAGTTCATTTTCTTAAATATGAAATCACATTTACCATGTTTTTATCAGTTGTGGTTAAGTATAATATAAAATTAATAAAGTACAATGCATAAATATAAATATATATATATATACATTTATGTTTCTAGTTTAATTTGATACGATTCGATCTCTATCCGAGAAATTGGTATTCGGATAGTAGCTGACATTACTATGGCGCTTCACATAGCACGTTATGAGACCGCCGAAGCTGCAGAGTATTATGAGTATAACACATGCGATTATTAGATAGATATACCAATTGAGCTCCACGTGACACGTGAGACTTTGAATATTGTCCGGCTTATAGCCCTTCTTGCACTTACAGCGATTGCTAGTCGCACAGTAGCTGTGCAGTCCACATCGCGGCTCACACTTGGGCACGCACCTCGACTGCTGCCATTCGTAGCCTGGTAAGCAGACACATTTCTCAGGTGCCAAGCAATGTCCATGCGGTCCACAGTCGTGTGTGCACACTGGTAGGCAAGTGCCATTCACAGTTGAATATCCAGCATCGCATTCACATAGATCGGCTTCGAGGCAGCTGGCGTGTGGACCACACGGAGGTTTACATCTTGGCTGGCATGTTAGCTTCATATAATCGTATTCATAGCCCGCATCACATTCACACTTCCCAGGCTTCACACATTTACCGTGTTTTCCACAGTCAGGTGTACACACTGGCAAGCAAGTGCCATTCACAGATGAATATCCAGCATCGCATTCACATAGATCGACATCGAGGCAGCTGGCATGAGTACCACACGGAGGTTTACATCTTGGCTGGCATGTTAGCTTCATATAATCGTATTCATAGCCCGCATCGCATTCACACTTCCCAGGCTTCACACATTTACCGTGTTTTCCACAGTCGTGTGTGCACACTGGCAGGCAAGTGCCATTCACAGATGAATATCCAGCATTGCATTGACATTGATCGGCTTCGAGGCAGCTGGCGTGCGGACCACACGGGGGCATACATATTGGTTGACAGTTCCTTTTACTTCGGTTCCACTCGTAGCCAGGCTTGCAGACGCAGGTATTGTACTCCGTACAGATACTATTCTTAGAGCATTTGGGGTAACAGCTAAGTTTGCAATGGCCATTCACGTCCTCGTAGCCACGTCTGCATGTGCAGGTATTATTTGATATGCTAGAGGTAAGCACGAAACATTTCGGATAACACGGAGGACAACACTTATCCAGTTCTGCATACCACACCTCATCCGGTTGACAATAGTCGAAGATCTCGTTACTCTGTAAAGAGTGGAAAAGAAGACGAATCCGAAAGTCTCACTTATTTAGTTATGCTCACTTGATTCGATAATGTCTCCTGACTCAAGTGCATGCATTCTACTACTCCTAAGCATAGGTACAGTAGGCTCCAACCGGTATCCATTTAGTATCGATGTTTAACATTCACGTTCTCTGCTTCGTCGACAACTGAGCAATTTTCGATGCATCTGGCGTTTTTATAAGGGTCGTAGGCGTTAGTCATAGCGGTTTCATACGCGTTGTGGGTTTCTATATATGCGCTTGGTTGAATATATATATATATAAAAAAATAAATATACACAAATTTATATATTTATATATATATATATATATATATAAATATATCTACATATATATTTATTTTTTTTATTCGAGTTGTAAGCAGCTTTAAAAATACTCTTTATCATTTGAGCTAACCTAGGCACCAACTAAATTTAAGGTGTAATTGATGTTTCCGAGAGATGCTTATGTAGGTCTTGCTCTAAAAGTTCGGTATGTTAAACCCCAATGATTTTTGAAGGAGAAATTATTATTTTAATATAATTATATATATAGAAGCTGCTAGGAAATCGTATAGGCACCCAACTTAAGCCCGACTTCAATTGATGTCTGCCAAAAGTCCTAGCTAGTCCTTCTTTTAAACGGTAGCTATATGTGCATATGTTTGTGTTTGGAATGGAATGGAATATATATTTAGCGGGTAGCTTGGACTCTGATATAATGTATTAAGAATTGCTTTCATTACGTAATGCCGTTGGTTTGCAGACCTCTCCATGGATAAAAGTACGAATAGTTTCGAAGGAAAAACGAGAGCGAGAGCGTACACAGACGGTCAGTCTAAAGTCAACTGAATACATATAGATATATAATCATGGTTATTGAATAACGGATATTGTTACAATTATTAATCACTGCCGTTTGTCGCTCTTTGAGAAGATCAAGTCTGGCTCTTATCGAATATATATGGACGCTTGTGTATATGTGCCCGCTTCCAGACAAGCTTCCATTTTCCATTCCGGCGATAAGGTCGTGCAAAACAGCCTCAGAGTCGGAGTGAGTTATCGTGGTCACACAAAGAGCATTTGGGTTGCTTGACTTTCCCTTTCTCAGCTGTCGCTGTCGCTGTGGCTGAGCTTTAGTGCATCTCGAGGCGTGTACAAAACTGGAAGCTGTCGTGGAGGATGCTGTCATTGGTTTTGCTGCTTCTCCTTGGCCAGAGCCAGTCGCTGGCCATTACGAGCGGCCACTGTCAGAAGAATATTAGCGTTAAATACCAGGTGCCATTGACCAGAACACGCCTGGTCAACAATGCCAGCGAACAGTATATCGTGTACGAGGAGCGCATACGCTGGGATACGGTGCGTATGTGCTGTACCGGCTATCGGACGATTATCTTTGGCTTCTGTGAGCCGCTCTGCACGGAGCCTTGTCCGGCGCACAGCTACTGCGTGGAGCCGAACAAATGCCAATGCATGCGCGGCTACGAGTCATCGCATCATCCGAACAAACAGCATCAGCTGATCTGTCGGCCGATCTGTCAGGGCGGCTGTCCGGAGCACAGTCACTGTGTGGGCCACAATGAGTGCGAGTGTCGGCCCGGCTTCAAGGATGTCAGCAGCTGGTTCAGCATGACGCTCAGCTGTGTGCGCATTCAGTGCGGCCACGATCAGCGCTACGATCTGCAGCGTCGCGCCTGCATCAAAATCGAAATGAGCATGGAGGAGCTAATGCAGCGGGTGGCCGAACGTCTGGCCAAAGGCCTGGAGCAGAGTGAGGGAGAACCGACCACCGAGGAGACATTGGAGGAGAGCAGAGATTGACCTAGGCTTAAGATAAGTTCTAATGTGTATCTAAGCTAATCTATTTGTGGATGCAATAAATTGTGGAGAGTTTTAGGAAGACGAGGAATGTCTATGGGTGGGTAAAGGGTAACGGTGTAGAATGTGTGCCAAAAAGAGAGAGTGAGAAAGTGGGAAAGAGGGAGCGAGAAAAAGAGAGAGAGAGAGAGGGGTACAGCAGCTGATAAGTTCTATGTAATGTCTTGGAGTATTTTTCCTATGGTAATCAAGTCTTCTGCAGGAGAAATATGCCTTAGGGGAAAAAGAGAAGTTATATGGACAGTTCAGTCCTCTTATTAGGAAGCAGCTGGATAAGAGTAGGTGAACATGTAGAGATATGGAACTCAAGTGAATTACTTAAAAACTCATCTTCAGATTTAGCTGCTTTAAGAAGACATTTTGTCAAAGAGTTATTTGCTGAGAGTCCAGGTCTAGTCACAAGCTGAGCTCTGCTTTTGGTAGTTAGAGACTTAGGAATGTCAAGCGCACAACGAAGTGGATAAGTTCTATGAAGGAGAAAACTAGAAAATAAAATAGATTGTCGACTAAACTGATGTAGAAAGTGAAGAGCAATGACAGTTTATAAGTGAATTCCAAGCATATTTAAAGCAGGCTGAGAAGAAGACAGAAGCTAATAATGTATTATAACAAGATTGGTTAAAGAACTTTTAAGTTGGAATTTCCATAACAAATAATTCAAGCGAAAAAAAATGCATCTAAGACTAAGGATCAACACTTTTATTCAGTTTTTTTCGTCAGTGTCTGACTCTCCAAGTCACTTTGAAAAAGCATTTCCTATAGAACATGCTCTATAAATCTATATGCAAAAAGCTTGTATATTTTTTATTGTAATTCAAACAATAGGATCGTATAATTTCCTTAGCGCTTGTGTGTTTCAGTAAATAAAACAAATTAACATACAATTTCAAAGACTTATATGCTAAATATCTATATAGTTTGATGGAAAAGAATAGTCGTAAATCATTAACATCAACCAGATCATCATCGTTATCATCATTATTATCATCAACATTATTATCAACATCATTAACATCATTATCAACATCGCACTCATACAAATTGAGTAGCGGGTGGGTTACGATAGGATTTGTTATCTAAAAAATTTCCCTATACAAATAGTTTATATATATATATATTTGTTTGTATATGTATAAGCTGGCAATGGCTTGTGAGTCCGTTTAAATTCATTTCATATCATTTTTGTGTTAAAGCTCAAATTGCATAGCTCGCATAGTTTTAGAAACATTTTCATAAGGTTTTTTTATGTAGTTTTTGGATTTTTGGTTTCACAGCCAAACGCGGAATCGTTCTTAGGCATATAGGGTCTCGATCAGATCCGCGTACATTTTATTGACCACATTGCGCTTGACCTTCAGAGTGGGTCCCAACTCGCCGGTGGCTATCGAGAAGTCATGTGGCAATATGGCGAATTTCTGCACTTTCTGGGCATTCGAGATGGACTGTTTGTTGGCGCGCTTAATGCCATCCTCGATGGACTTCAACACCTTGGGACAAGGGCCGGCCTTCAGAATTTCGCTAAGGGTCTTGTACTCAACGCCCAGAGATTTCATCCACATAATCGATTCGTGTGTGAGCTCATCCATGGGCGCGCCCGACTCACGCTCCACCTCGGTCTGCAATTTCGAAACTTTGACTTTAGCAATGTGGTTAGATATAAATTCGATAATATCGAGACTTACCTTGATTGAAACGAGCACAGTTAAGTATTTGCGCTGCTCGCCCACCAGGAAGGCATTGGAAATGCCATCCAATTCCTTTTTGATAATATTCTCAATGTGAACGGGCGGTATATTCTCACCGCCAGCTGTGATGATCAGCTCCTTGGATCGACCCGTCAGCATCACGTAGCCCTTGTCATCGATAAAGCCCAGATCGCCGGTGTGCAGCCAGCAATCGTCGTCCAGGGACTCTTCGGTCTTCTCCTTGTTGAAAATGTAGCCCATGAACACGTGACGGCCGCGTATACACAGCTCGCCATGTCCATTCTCATCCTGATTGATTATCTTCGATTCACAGCCCGGCAACGTTTTGCCAATCGAGTTCAACAGGTGTGAGTCGGGCAGGCAGAGCGTGTGACAGCCACCGGATTCGGACATGCCAAACGCATCCAATATCTTCATGTCCAGACTAAGGAAGTATTTCTTGGTCTCCGGCGACATGGGCGCTGCAGCGGTCACCAAGCTGACCACACGATCAAAGCCCAGGGCAGCCTTCACCTTGGACAATATGAGCGACTTGGCAATCTTGTAGCGGAAGCCTCCGCTGCTCTTGCTGCAAAGAAAAAGAAACCAAAAAATTGTTTATAAAAGTTTTTTAATTGGAATTTTTGATTAGCTTGCAAAGTTGGGCTAATTACATGGGTCAAGGATAATGCTGGGGATGAAGTCTCCAGGGGGAAACTTTGTGAATGTGTGTGGAAAGCTAATGGGTTACTGCAGCAGCAGCAGCAGCAGCTAATGCACTTGGCGACAGTCCAACTTAATTGCCAAGTCACAAAAAAGGAAGTCTCAGAAAACTGCTTCTTAGCATGAAGAGGAGATGATAAGAGGAATTGCTGGTGGCACCTGATGAATTATTGATAGATGAGCAGGCGTAAACGTTGCTTTTGGTGGATATGTTTTCTGGCAAATTAAGAAGTTTCTGGTATTTGTTTCAATTTATAGTTAGCTTAGAAAGTGACCTTCTTATAGAAAAGGATTTTCTAAAAGAAAAAGAACTTTTATTGAATAAGAATTCATTGTTTAAGAGGAAAAGCTCCAATTAAAATGGGAATGCCCAGTTTCAGAAAGTCCTAGTAGAACATTAATAACAGTTACTTCTAGAAAAGAAATTGCTGCTAGAAGAGTAATTCCTTGTAGAAGAGGAATATGTAATACCTAAAAGTAAAGAAATATTTAATTGAAGAGAAAGTCCTAGTAGAACAGGAACACCTGTTGCTAGTAGAGAAGAGACTTTGATGCTAGAAGACGAGATGGTAGAAGTTTTACCTTCTGGTAGAAGAGGAGTTCCTAGTAGTACCGGAATGCTTGATAGAAGAGGAAGCTGATGAATTATTGTTATATGAGCAAAAGTGTAACTTCCTATAAGCAGAAGTATTTCTGGTAAATAGATCTCTAGTATTTTTTCATAATAATAGTAAGCACAGAAGCTGAAGTACTTATAGAAAAGGAATTCCTGAGAATTCAATGTGTAACAATAAAATAGGAGTTCCTATTTTGATAAAAACAAATAGGAATTCCTAGAGCAATAGTTAATAGTAGAGAAAATCCTAGTAGAGCAGGCATAGTTGGTAAAACAGGCATTCTTAGTAGTATAGGAATACTTGACAGAAGAGGAGTTGGAACGGGAATTTCTGAATTATAACATCTGGAGAAGATAATTTTTGGTAGAAGAATAATTCCAATAGCCATCAATATTTCCAATAAGGCTAGTCCATAAGACAAACACATATAAATTAAGATCATAAAAGCAATCTACAAGTAAATTTAGTCTGAAGAGGACAGGCCTAGGTTCAGTGGATCTTATGGCATATCAAAAAGAAATAACAAGACTTTTGCTCATCATTTGAGAGCAAAGTAAAAGCCGAGCTAAAATTGTCTACAGCAACCAGGCGAGCATGTTTTAAAGCTGCTAATCGCTGGCAAAGTCAGAGCATGTCACGTTATTTCGCAGACAAAGGACGTGCACGTATGCAGGTGGAGAGTTTCAGGCAACAGCTACAGCTACAGCTACAGCTTCAGTTGCTTCGTGTACAGCGTGGCGTATGAGTAATGTTGTGTTGGCTGTGATTTTGGCTGTTGCCTTTGGACGGACGCTGGCTGCTTGCATAATTTAACAAACGAACTGTGTAGAATGCCTGGCAGGGATTGCCAGCAGCTGAAGCACAGATGCGAGTCGAGTCTAGGCAGCAGCCACTTTAACTGTGCATTCATTTTGCATAATTTATGCGCACACAGGCGAAAAGTTGAAAGTGGGCAAGTTGGGAAAGTGGCAGAACTTACCCCTGATCCTCCATATAGTGTTTCAGCGAAATGCCCTTGGCCCAGGCGGCGAGCATTTTCTTAAAGCTACCACTGGAGCTGGCAACCGCAACCATGCGCTCCTGGAACTTCTCAAAGACACGCGGCACGCCAATAAAGCGCGTCGGACGTGCATCCTGCAGCGTCTTAACCAGCGTTCCCTTCAGCGCGTCCTTATCGGCAAACCAAATGCAACCGGCCATCGAGGCAACGGTGTAAATGTCGACAACCTGCGCCGCCACATGCGAGAGCGGCAGATAGGAGACCATACTCTCGCCACCATATACAATTTTCTCCAAGCCCTTGCCAATGCCGCGCGTATCGTATGAAATATTATCATGGGAGAGCATGACGCCCTTGGGCATGCCCACCGTGCCGGAGGTGTAGACCAAACAGCAGCACTCATTGATCGCAATGTTCTCCAGGCGACGCTTGTACTCCTCCTCCACGTCGGTCACAGTCATCGCCTCAATCTCTGACCACTAGAAGGACATGAATCAAATATGAATATCGAGTTATTTCAAATGATTGACCATCTTTACCCTGTAGTAGCCATCCTCCTTTTTCAAGTAGGGCGCATAGGGTTCCTGGATCTGGATGGCTGCCTTCAGATTGGGCAATTTGTCGCGTATCTCACGGATTTTATCCATCTGCTTGGCTTCATCCACGATGACAATCTGTGCACGCGAGTTCTCCAACACATGCTGCACGGCCTCCGCCGAGTTGGTTGTATAGATGCCAGCAATGATGCCCCTGGCATGAATGGCACCCATTGCCGAGTAGAACCATTCGGCACAGTTGAAGGCCAGCACGCCCACCGAATGATGTTCCTGCAGGCCGAGTTTAATGAACGCCTTCGCTGCCTGATGCACCTTCTGTTCGTATTGCCTGCGAAAATGGAATTAGAGTTGAGATTTTTCTTTTCAGCTAACTCAATTTGAGGCGTATCATTTTGAGTCTGAAGCGCGCTAATCGAAAGAAATTGCTTTCGAATAGAGATGAGCTGAATACGAGTAGAAGCACAAGAGTAAACAGTATAGTTCAGATATATATGAAAGCGAAACGAGCGGAGTAAAGGGTATCTCCTAGCCGGACATTTCCGAGCTTCCTTGCTAGTTTTACATTAAAATTATTTTCAAGTATCGCAGCAGATATCGTATGTGATTGATTAATGTACACGATATACGCAACCGTTAGTCTATATATTTGTAATCTCTTTATACAGTATCTCAAGAAGTATATATACATTTGCCTGGCCTCTTAAGAGTATTTGATATTATGAGTTTCTTCTTTGTTTTCACTTCATTAAAGACTTCGTATTTGCTCGTTCTTAGCGCTTAAGGGCTACAGATAAGTGTTCATTCAGGCCATGAATGATTCACCTGTATCGATCGTCATCAATATATTGATATATGTGTTTCTTTGACATTCCATTCAATTGTAATTGATCGACTTGAATCGTTTTGGATCATTCTTTTGCCGAAGACAAAGTCTAAATATATTATTTTAGAATTCTATTTTTCATTTCTATTTCTATTTCTTGTTATACATATTTATATATGTACAATATGTCAATACATAAGCAAATTTATATATATTATTCATTCACATCTTGCCAATTTGAGATAAACTTTGGTAACATCATGTAGATTCTAGTTGAATTGTATTAAATTCGTTGAGCTTGATTGAGTTCTTAAGTTGGTTTGGGTATTTTCTAGTCGCGTTAAATCGTATAAGCTCGAATCCGACTTAGCTTGATTAGCTTGATTCGCTTTGTGTTATATAGCGTAGTAGGTCGGGCTAAAAGGTCTTTCATACAAATTACTTTTTAGTTGTGTTTTTTAAACAGAGCTAAAATTTACTCACTGAATGAATCGTTTCATAAGCTCGTATTTTACTTTTTACTAAACTTCGATGTGATTTATAAGCTTGAGCTAGTCGACAACTAAAGTAACTAGTTCATATCTAGCTCATCTCTGTTTAAGGTCGTCAATTAACACTCGTTTAACTCACTTATAGGTAACTGTGGTGTAGCCATTTTTGCCGTTCTTGGTGCGCAGCGCTGGATAGTCGGGAAAATTGTTGACGGCGCGCTTCAGTAGGCCGGGTATCGAGATGGGCTCCTCGGCGCCGAGGCCCTCCTTGCTCATGCGTATCTTGACGGCCTCCTCGGGATCGGTGGTGCGATAGACCTCCGATTGCCGCAGGCGGTTGGGGCCTGGGCGATTGAAAAGTGCTTCGTTCGGGTTCGCGGCCATTTGACTGTAATCGAATTGAAGAAGTTATTAGTTTAAATAGAAGCGGATTTCAATTTTTACATGTTCAGGGCTGGTTTAAATATTTTAGTTTTTTTTTTTGGGTACATGATTTCCTGGTAGCGATAAGCAGTCAAGCACTAGGGTCAAGGCTAAAGCTTTCGTGTTTCGACTCTTATCACAATGCTGGAATTATGACCTAACACCTGATTAGAGGCGGCATGGGGTACTCATATAACTGCTTATTATAAATACGTATAGATCTGAATTTATGACCAGAGTCAGAGAAATGGCTAAGAGCGTGCGGATTAGAACGGTAAAAACAACTAAATAAAAAGTGCCGAATCAGAGTATTATATATTACGTATAATTCAAGAATTATTTATGGCTTCGAATTTATGAGTGGTTGGAGTTGGAGGTGGATTGTCTTTTATAGTATAGCTAAAAGCTCTACTTTACAGAATGGAGGTATGTATACATAGAAGTATAGAATATTGTACCCAAAGTTATAGCTTCAAGAACAGAGAAATGTCGCATAAAATTAAAATGAGCTTCTTTAGAAGATTAACAACAAATGTTAAGGATATTCGCATATTCGATATTGGATTTTATATACCAAATTTCATAGTTCTAACTTTTATAATCTTCGAGATATACAAAATCTTTTTGAACAGTATATAAATAATACCAAAAGAGTAAAAAAAAACACAAATTTGGTCCGTAAAATAAGCATCTATATCTGACTGTATATCACACTTCAAACTGTAGTTTTTAAATCTATAGAGATAAGAATTGAATAGGGAAAGCATCATATAAACTAAATATATTATATAAACAATATAAACTAAACATTAGGTAAATAAAAGTGAAAAAAAAACAACTAAAATATCTTTATAATTGCTTTATATTTCCTGCAATGCCTAGTATACATATTATATCATATCATATCGTTCTACCTGCCATTAGTTAAGTAAGTATTAAGTTTTCTCTTTCAGTCTTATCATCTGATATGATAAAGCCGCAATATTTCTACAAAAGTCTGAGCTTACGACTAGTTAACATTCGATTTTATAAGTATTTCTCTTTCTTTTTTGTTTTTGGGTGCAAAGGGCTACGACTTGGCATGTTTAGCTATCAATATCTATCTATGTATACGCATGTCGCTGAAGAATGTTCATAATTCTTGCTGCTTTTTGTTTTTTATTAATCAATAAACGGACAAAAAGTTTGATAAGAAAAAGCAACAGAAAGCATAGAAAAAAACTAAAAGAAACAACAAATAATTTTTTTGTTAGTTAAGAATGAAAAGAATATAAAGTACAACAACACAAATCATAATAAATATTACTAAACAAGTCCAAAGTTTTGTTGAAAAACTTTTTTTTAATTTTTCCCTGTTGCCTGGTTACTTAGCAAGTTGAATTTACCTCAATGATTAACGCTGATTGATGGATGGATGAAGGCTTCCCTGTCACGAACAATACCCCCACCCCAACGCAAATACTATGTAATTAAAAAAATTATTGAATGATTGACAGTTGCTTAATGCAATAGCAAATCTTTTGAGGTTCACTTTTGTGCGAAGAAATTATAATAAAAAGGTTTTTTCTTGGTGAATATTTGAGATATTTAATGGTTAATGGTACAATATAGATATTAGACATATGTAGGTATAAAATTGAAAAAAGTTGGAAGTTGATATACATTCCTATTTTCTGAAACTCCAATTATGACTTCTAAGTATTTTGTTGTTATAAATTAATTTCAGCTAGATTTTATATATTGTTTATAACATGATTATAGACCTTATTCATATGACATGATATTATATAATGTTTAGGATAAGTTAGATAATGTTTTAGATTTTAAATACTGAAACGCTTTTCTCCTAGTAATATGATTATCATAAAATATATTTAATGAAAGAAATATGAATTTTATCAACTATGCCTAACACGTTTATCAGAAAATATTTATTAGTTATATTACATATGTATTAATCTATAAATACCAAAATCATTTACATAATTCTTACAATTTTACCCATTTAATACCAGGTATACCCATTTGAGAATTATGTAAATTGACAAAATTAATATTCTATAATATTTATAGCAATTTTTCTGTGAAAATGTAGTTTACTTCACTAATAGTTGTGCGTCTAACAATAGTTATATGACCTTTGGAAATTTCCCAATCATCATTAAGGCATCAAAATAAATTGAACTGTTTAATCAAAAAGTAAATCATTATAGAAAATCATTGTAGGAAATCCAATCATAATTGGACATGTGTAATTGAAATTATTAATTACAATTGGTAGCAAAGTCTACAAGTTGTAGTTTTTTTTAAGTGATAAGAACAAAGTTTACAGTTAGTATTTTGATAATATTTACTGAGCGTTCATTTAAAAAAATAGTGAATTATTCTGGGAATGTATAGTAAAAACTCGCTAAATAAGATGCTAAGATGACAAAGCTGATAAACAATTTAAATAAATCTAAACATATTTTGTAAATTGAATTTGTAAATTAAAAATATATAGGCAAATATTAAAAAAAAAAAAATATTATAAATTAATAAGTAAAATTTATTTTTTTAAAATATTGCCAAAATATATTTATTATATAAATATATAAGAAGTTTTAAATTACGTTAATTAGACAATTTACTGAAGTTTTTTAGGAAATTTTTAAGTTTTATATAACGAGCATGCACTGTACAATAAAATTTTGGTATATTCTAATTGGAATACGTATATGCACATATATATATATATTTTCTTTAAATATGTTGCTGATATATGCGTAGAACTAGAAAAACGTTTGCCAGTTGAGGAAATATTACTTCATAAAATAATATATGTATGTACATATGTTTTTTATTTATGTGTTTGTGTTTATGTGGATGTATGTTTGTCTCAATAGAATTTGCGTAGTATTATGGAAACTATGCGAGCGAAATAGGCATTGGTAGAAACCGGCTTTGCCGTTGATAAGAATTAGTTGTCTAGACATTTGGCAGTCGTACGATCCCAGCAAGCAATAGCTGAAATAAATGTGTGGCTGTGTATGGGTGCATGAGCGTTGTCAGCAGTGTAAATTGCAGAGAGCAACTGTGTAATATATAAATAAATATATATATCAAAGAGCTGACAGGGCGACCTAAGAAGCTGCGTATGAAAACAAAACAGATAATTGAGAGTTCTAAAAATATTCGCCTACAGTATGAGCATGTGTGCGTGCATGTGTCCGTGTCCACGTGTGTGTGTTGTTATTTTCGAAACAGTTGGTAGTAAAAGAGAATGCCATGTCACATATAACTGAAGAAATGCGGTTTTCTTGCATCTTTTTCGAAAGCGGAATGAGCATAAAAGCAACAGATGTGCCAAATGCGAGAGATTGTTTTAAAAAGCGATCAAAGCAAAAGAAGACAAAATAGAAGACAAGCGAAAGCTAGAGACAGAGTACCAGCAAGAGCAAGCGGTAGAGAGCGAGAGGTGGAGAGATAGAGAGTGGGGCAACCGACAACTGTCAGTTAAAGGGTGACAATGAACTCGCGAGGACAGTGCACTGACCCACAGAGACACAATGTACTGGCCGGTCGAACTGGGAAATGAGCCAATGCGAAAAAAACACTGCCGGCAAGCGTGTGAAATGCGGCAAAAAACACGTGTTTACAAAAAGGGGGCGTGGACGCGGGCAGTTTGTATTTATTTTAAATATTATTAACTTTGCCCAAAAACTTACATAATTTATATATATTTATATGGTTTTTTTTTATAATTTATTTTGGTTATTCAGCACGACACAAAATATGTTTTTTGCGTAATTTGAATTTGGTTTTTCTTAATATTTTGTTGGATATCTTTTCACTTGAAGCACGAGCCAAGTAAAAACGACCGCACGCAGCGAAGCCAAAGCGTAAACTGAAAGCAGAACAGGATCGGTTGCTATAGAAATCGTTTGGATCGTCGCTGCTGGCGTTGCTGGCGCTGCCGCTTTCGACGCGACGTCGCTGTCGATAAGTCTTCAAAGCGGTTTAAAGCAACACGACTTATACCAGCTACCTGCTCGCTGTGCTCTTATCAGTTGGGGAGGCGCCCACATTGCGCATTCGCTCGCACGCTGATTAGACATGGAAATCGAATTCGAAACGGGACTTACGTTGAGTTCGAAATCTGTTTGATCTTTGGGTACAAAATCATGCAATGTAACAACAACAACAACACCAGCAACTGTAACAAATAGTTGTTGCTTATCAGTTAGCTGACTCTCTGTATGCGTTAGCACCCTTATTGGATGCACTTTTGTACTTGAATCGTTTTCTTTTGTGTAATTGTTTCTTATTGTTTATTGTATTTTACATAATGGTTCTTCTATACTGGTTCATTTTTCATTTAATCTCATTGGGTTAAGGGTCATACTGAAGATTTAGCCATTGTATTGTCAAATTTATTGCACTTATCTCCATTCTATTTCTGAATTGCGTAGGGTATATTGGTTTTTTTTTTGAAATTTTCCACTATCTTATATATATATATATATATATATATATATATATATATGTATATCACTCTTGAATTATTGTTTTTTAGTTCAATTCATAGATTTCTTCTTGCTTTTTATTTATAGAATTCGGGATCTTGTTTCTATATTAAATACTTGGCTTATGAATTCAAGTTCTTTTTAATATTTACATAAGTTTTGGGCAGAGATTATTGTTTTGTTTTCATAAGTTTTTATGTCAAGATCTTGTACTTGTATTTTCTAAGAATTCGCGTTCGAATTTTTAATTTTTACTTCGAACTGCTAAGTCTCATTGGAATGGCTAGGATTCCAACTCGACTTCTTTTTTTCTGTTATAAGTTTGAATTCTAGTACTGCAATTCTAATTGGAATACATTTTTCGAAATCGAAATCTGGACCTTGATTCGAATTACAAGAAGCTCGACTTGTTGCCTCTAACTTCTTATTTGAACATTTAATATTCCAGTTGGAATTCCTGTATAATATTTGAATGTCTTCGCTTCGAAATTGAATTGTTTGTTGTATCTAATTAAAATGCGGAAATTTGTTGGCTTTTGTGTTAACTTATTATTTATTTACATTTATTTAATATAGATTATTTTTAAAATTAGTTTATAATATATATTTGGCATTCTATTGTGCTTTGCTGAGGAATCAAATACTATTTATAATGACTTGAATAATATATGTATAGACAAAAATATGGGTTCTTTATTTATATACATTTTTTTTATAAATTTACTTTTTCTGTGCAGAAGAATTTGAAATTCTATTTTCTTTAAAGGCACAAAAATTTTCCATTAAATTTTTGGTAATCAAAAATGGGATAGAGATTCCATGATTCAAAAGATCTAAGCCACATTGAAAGTTTAGGCCCATTCTAAGGAAGCAATAGATAAAATTGGCAAATCTTCCATAAGAATTAACAACACAGCTGTTTTTTATTTAAAATAAAACGCAATTTGTATTCTGAGCAAATGAGTAAAACTAGAAAGTGAGAAAAACACGCTCTATATATATTTATAATATATATATATAATGTGCGAGTTCCGATTAGACTAAGCTAGGCACGGCACAAGACTAAGTAATGCTTCTTGATTAAATAGTTAATAATAATTATATTTTATTCTACTCATTTTATTTTATTTATAATCTTGAGTCATGAACTTCAGTTGGCAATTGTTAATAAGATTTCCTAATATTAAATTAAATATTTTTTCTTTTTAATTTCAATTGGCCCATTTGTTTATAAATAAGTCGAAACTGATAAAACCCCAAGTATTCCGCCATAAATAAAGTCGGCTAAAAATAAATCCTAAGATAATAACCTGGCTTATCTGGTTCAAAAGTCAAACACCTGTTGCATTAATCTGGCAACAATTTGAATAACTCCCATGAATCATTATCGAATCAAATTTCAAATGAATAAGGAATTTACATTTTTTATCACAAGACGGAAAAATATAGAAAAAATAACTAAGATACGTGCTGATTTCTAAGTATATATAGTCTATATATATGTGTGTCTGAAAATTTCATGAAATACCAAAAACATTTTTGACTGTTGCCAATTGTTGAGTTGGCGTCTTATCAAAAATTAGCTACGTTTTATGACCTGATAAACATGTTCAGTAGTTGAACTGCACTTATAATACACATACTTATGTATATATATATATATATATATATATATATAAATACCTTAAAATTTATGCCTGAGCCTGGGCACACTTCCGTCGTTTGGCCATCTTATCAGGCAAATCAACCTGCCGTAAAAGGCCAAAGGTTCAAACCCGCAAGATACCACTACTGATTCACGGCTGGGAATCGCATGCAACTGCCCCTGGCGCACTACAATCGATAAGATTACATATATATACATCTATATAGCTAATATAAATCATATGGCTGATATCCATGATCATCTCTCGCAGAGATTTGCTTTTGATACGAATTAGTTTAATAGAAACAGATTTCATTTGCATACACATATTATATAAAAGCACTTATATATATTTCTTTCGCTGACATAATATGCATTAATTTCTAAGTATTTAATTTGTAGCTTTCTTAGCTCTTATCAGTGCGCAAACACGAGTGTTCCATGCCGAAAACCAGATTAGATGCGATTTTTGTCTATACGACAAACAAGTTTTGACTCAGTTCGCGCGCCTCATGGGCTCTACCTGAAGTCGGCCACCATATGTTACTTAATTGTAGTTGTTTTTTTGCAAATACCAGGTAATTCTCTTAAAGATAACTTTAATTCCCAATAATCAGCTCATGATGACAATAAAATAGAAAGTTCCTAGACTAACTCAAGTGGATTCCAATTAGAATCTCGTACGACGTTGAAGATATTTTAAGTTTGATTAAAAGTTTATTTTATTTTTTTTTAAGTAGAGTATATTTTCCTACTAAATAACAAAAATATATATAAAGTAGCATATATATATTTTGGTTTATTTGCAAGAAATTGCCAAACAAAAGTAATTTATTACTTTGAAAATTATTTTAAGATATCAAGCCAAAAAGGAAACGTTATTTATTTTTAATTAAAAGCAGAATACGTCAAGAGCCTAGAAAAATACATTTAATAAAAATAAAAGCTTCAATTAAGAATTAATTAAGGTCATGTAAGCATTTAATAAATTAATAGAAAATAATCGAAAAATGTAAATAAAAATAAAATTTTGAACTCTTTTATCAAAAATCTTTCAGTTGAAATATGAATTGTATTCATTTTGTATATACGCATTAGCAATTAAATAAATATCAAATATATAATAATAAATAAATAATATAAAACATATATATCAATATGTAAATAAATGTATATATATATTATTATTAAATATATTATGAAAAATATTTTTATATAACTTTAATTGATAGTTTTTATTTATATAATGTTTTATTTTATTTTTATACAAACTTATTGCATATAAAAATATTTGTAGAGAATTAAACTTGGGCGTGTACAAACATTTTTCCAACAGACTGTAAAAGCTTACCAAGAAGCTTGCAGCTTTTATCAAAGACTACAACCAGGCAAAAGCTTAGTTGCGTGAAAGCTTTTGCTAAGTTCATGACAAATTAAACTTAATAACAGTTACGTCTATATACACATATATATATATATATATATATATATATACATATATACATAAATGTATATAGATTTATAAATTGACGACTTACACTGACATACATAAGTACATGCACATCTCCTGGGCTATCAATTTACCAATTGCTGGTTAACATTTTAGCCACGCTGAACGAATGCAGGCAGACAGTTGCCCTATAAACTGCAAACTACAAGCAACTGCAGTGACAGTCATCATTTATATGTTTGTGGCTTAAGTGCGTTTTATATGACAGTTGGACGTCCTGTCAATAGGACGAAATGAATACTGATTCGAACTACTATTTTGAACTCGATTCCGATTCAGATTCCGATTCCGATTGCGTTGTCATGTTAATGAGATTGTCGTCAGCGGCATCAAATTACGCGTCACAAAGTTGTCTGTTCATAACGCCCAGGATACGCCCTCACACACACACACACGCACACGCACACTAAGCACATGCAAATGATGTGCTGATGTGTCGCAAGGACTAAAAGCGAAAGACTTAAAAATAAACGCGAAAATCGTTTAAGCACAGGTTAGAGCAGGTTCATGATGCTTAAAATGGGCAGCCCGTGGGCTGGGGGCGTGGCGCAAAGGGGCAAATTACAGGACAACAGCATTCTGCTGGGATAACAAGTCTTTGGCTAATTAACACACACACACGCACACACACATTGATGCAGAGAAATTGAGCCAGACAATGAACCGTTTTGTACTGCAGATAATTGTTCTGCCACGCCCACTCTCTAGCAAGCAGCCAGCCAGCAAGGATAACAAAAGGAGTTAAGTGTAAAGTTGAACTGTTTAGAATTGACCATAAAAAGATCACACTTGACGGCCCTTACGAATGTGGCATTTATTATGCGATTTCTATGATTGCACTCGATATTATCCTCAGCTCAAATTGTGTTTGAAAAGCTTGTGCTTAATTGTAAATCGAATGGGGATGAGAGAGAGAGGATGTGATGTGTTGTGGCCACGAGAGATCAATTTACATAGAAAGCTATAGAGAGAGGGAGCGGAAGATGCAGGTGAAGTAAAAAGCGAGAGAGACAGAAAGAGATATATATAAATAGAGGTTAGGAGAGGGAAAGAAAGGGAGAAAAGAGAGCGTGAAAGAGAGCTG